GCGGCGTTAACGCGCGCCCCTCCCCCGCAGTTGACATCCTGCTGAAGGCCGTGGGCGACACCCCCATCATGAAGACCAAGAAGTGGGCCGTGGAGCGGACCCGGACCATCCAGGGCCTCGTTGACTTCATCAAGAAGTTCCTCAAACTGATGGCCTCCGAGCAGCTGGTAGGGGCAGGCGTTCCTGGCGGCCTGGCCTGGCCCGGCGTGCCCCGCGCGCCGCGGGGGAGGCCGGGAGCCAGCCATGGCAGGGAGCTCCGCTCACCCTGGGTCCAGGCTGTCACACCTTGCAGGGAGACTGTTTGAATCTAGGCTGCGGCTTTTAGCAGGAGACTTGGCGTAGGGGCCCCGATAAAATTCTTCAAAGCACGCACCGCAGCGTAACGTTGCAATGAACCATAACGCTGCGGTTTGGATGCGCTTGGGTGCTCGGCTCCAGCCTTTGGGCTTTTTGCAGCGCCTCCGTTTCTTCTTGTCTGATGCTGACGTGCAGAGCTGTGTGCATGTTGTGCAGTGATGTATTTTGGTGAAGTATTCATATGCACAGTGTAACTGTAGAAGTCAGGTATGCGGAAGGAGTATTTGGGAAAAAGTCTAAAGCGTTTGGGGTTGACTTTCTGAATATTAGTGTCTGCTTCAGAACTTACTTCTCAGTAATTACAATTAACAGTTTAATTACTGTCATAGGACTGATTTCTCCATTAAAATGTGTAGCTTGGAAATGTTCATAGCTTGGCAATGTTCATAGCTTGGCAGCACATTACCAGTACCGTTTATGTGTTCTTTCCTGTGAAGCCCGAGTGGCCTTCTGATAACATTGGAAGAGCTGGTACAGATTCAGAAATATGATTGTACTAATTTTGCGATTAGCAGTAAATTCTTAACATCCATACACTTCAAAGTTTTCATTTAAGATATAAAGTTAAAGCTAGACTCATTAAAATAGTCAAATGTGTAGCTAAAGTATAGATGAAATCACTCTGTTCTTGGTCTGGGGGCTCTTATTTAAGCATATAGGCATAAACGGTTTCACTAACCTTCTCTTTCAGCTGGAAGTCATGAAGGGTTTCTTTTTCCCAAGGCTTAATGTCTCAAAGAAGAGTAATAGTTCAGGTATTTACTGTTCGTGGGTGTTCTCAACAGTTTAATTCATTAACTGCCATCTCATTGTCTCAGGAAAAAAATACAGGAGCATGGAGTCTTCCAGTGTGGTTTAAGCTTAAGGCTATGCTTCAGGAACAATGCCCTAGGAATTTTATGACTCTTCTTTGGAAATAGCACATGATACCCTACTACACGTTGCCATCTCACACTGCAGATCGCAAGGCTCTCTTTGGCATTATGGACTAGCTACTATATGCATTCATACGTTTGGGGCAGGAAGTGAGAAGGATGACTTTAAAAAAGAACAAAATAATTCTGATTTCTGTGACTGCTGTTCTAATTGAGCAAATTTGGAATAGTGGGAATGGTTTGGATACTTGAAATAAGAGCAAGAACTAAACCAGTGAGTTGACTTTTCGCTGCTGTATGGGAGACTAATGGGTCAACTTGCAGGAGAAGGCAGTCAGCACGTTTGCTTTGGCTTGGTCTGGTTGGCCAGTCAGAAGTGACTCCTGGAAGTCATGTTGCCCCTCCACACGGAAGTGGAAATACTAATTCATGGTATTTTGGTGTGGACTGTAAAGATTACGAAATAAATGGTGAACAGAGGTCAGATTTACCCACTTCTGGCTGCAGAATGTTTCTTCTATGTGTTCTGTGATCTATGAGATCTATGGGAGATCTCCATCTTCTGTTTTCTTTTCTTGCAGTTCATATATGTAAACCAGTCTTTTGCTCCATCTCCAGACCAAGAAGTTGGGACCCTCTATGAGGTGACTTTTATCTTAAATATTCTTTCCCAATGTGCTTAGCAGAATTTGTCAGTACATTTCTGGCACTTGAAGTCTGTTACTGCCCTTAGCTATGCTGGTAATATCTTGCATTTAATGTAATGCAGTTGATATTCACAGATCTGTATGAATATGATTTAAAGAGACATGACTTCATACAATCTCTGGAAATGCATTCCTTCACACACAGTATGTTGTCGTGCCTCCCATTATGATGGAGAGCTTTGTTATCAGTAACAGTATTCCATGACCCAGGTATCTGGGGGGGGGGTTGTTTGTTTTGCTTCGTGTATATGCTAGCCCATGAATAATCTAACAGCTCTTGTTTTGTTTTTTTTTTTCTTGCAGTGTTTTGGAAGTGATGGCAAGCTTGTACTGCATTATTGCAAAACTCAGGCATGGGGATGAACGACAAGCAATACAGTTGTTCAGGTGTTGTCTTCAAAGATGGAAAAGGGACTAACTTTCTTAAACTCAACCTGTAAACACACAGAAAGAAGGATTTTTGCATTTCTGCTTATGACTGTACATCTATAAAAACAATGCAGATGAATAGCATAAAAGAAGAGCTACCTAGGCTGTCTGATCATGTAGCTTTTTTCTGATGTACATCTGGGGTACAGAAAAAAATCTGCATCTGCCGTCTATAGAGTAGAGCCTGCTATTTCATAGTTGTCTGGAGGACCGGGCAGCTCTGTCACTCTATATGCTGTACTGAAGATAAAAGTTCCTTTTTATTAAAAGGGATATTTATTGTACATGTAGCGTCGGATTCAGTTACTTCTGACAAGTTGTACATCTGTTATGTGTGTTCTATTCTTTGTGAAGGCTTCATCTTGAATGTGCATTATCTCATGTAATTTCAAGACAGTATTTTGATTTTTTTCTCATAATTAATATGTAGGTATTGGTATATAATCTAATTACTTCACCCTGTGCCTTCTCGTATTGGTAGTGTAAGTATTTGTTGAAGGCTGAATGCTTCAGCAGTTGCCAAGGTGTTTCTTCTGGCACTGTTTAATGACTAGCATCATTAGCTAAATGATGCAACTAGCTGTTGCATCTTTCAGTTAATGAACAAATAGACACGGGGTGCTAAAAACCTGCTCTATATATTCTCCCTTTGGCTGCTGTTATTCTCCCATTTCACCAGCTGCATGTTCCATCAACAAAATAGAATGCACTTTATATCCTGCTAAGTCATAACATAATGAGGATTTTTTTCTTCATCCTGGAGAGGACTTGGTACCTTGACTAGGGTACTGACCTTTGCTTTTATTTATTGGAGGGTTGGGGTGTGGGGGGGTGTTTTTTGTGGGTTTGTTTTAAATGTCTGTTGTACAATCTTTTATGTTTGTCTAAGCTGTACTAAATTAAATGTTCGCTGTTTGCTTGCAGAGTGTTCTTATGCTGGGTGACAGTTTTGGTCCCTGACGTAATCCACTTCTTCAGCACATACAGGAAAAACAGCCTGTGCTAGTTTCAAGCATGCTTGTACCATAGTCTTGAGCTGTTCATTGCTGTTTTGTGTATAAGTGGCTCTTACGTGGTCTCTGCAACTTGTGTATTGGATTGTTTCCACCCTTAGAGGACTTCGGGAGAACTAGTAACTCGGCTTAACTTACTGACGTTGCTGCAGTGTGCATGCAGCCTGCATACATGGCACAGTAACACAGGCACGTGCCCTGAATGCCTGCTGTGTGAATAGCTTGATATATTTTACCACTTTTTAAGTGGAAAACCTGGATTCATGGGATTAAGCTAACGAGGCAGAATTGGTTGTAAACTTAAACACTTCAAATAATCCATACTTGTGCCTGCTTAGAACCCTGATCTCGTGAATCTTTGTCTATTTATGAGAACTATTGCAGAGGTGAGCACTCTGGTTCTGTCTTCTTACGGAAATGGCCTGCGCGGTTACGGTGAGGCCAGCGTAACCTTGCACAGCCGCTAGAGGGTACGCAAGGACAAAGGTATTTGCATAGTTCTTCCTAGATTTTTTTTTTTTCCCCAGTCTTTTTTGTAACATGTCCACTTGCCAGCCTTACAAATACAAGTAGTTTGTTCTCCTGTGTGGCAGTATGTTTACCTAAGATAAGCTACTAGTCTGGCTCTCTTTAAAGAATGTTCTATTGGTGCCTTTTACCTCATTTGATCTTAACAAATGAAACTACTGATATACTGCAGATGTGCTCTTCAGAAGTGATGCAAGAAGGTTGGTTTGTGTGTGTGTGGTTTGGGGGGGGTGGGGTTGTGTTTTGTTTTGTTTTTTTAAAAAAAGAACAAATAAAAACCTACTAGGATCTCGAGGTGAAGGAGGACTGTAGGCCATTGTGTCTTGCCAGCTAATGGTAGGTTGTCCTTCATGTTGAATCTATAGATAATTTTTATCCTCTGGAGCTTGGAGAAAAAAAAAAAGTTTGCCTCCATCCCTTCAAAGGTAATAGTCCAGTAGCATAAAACCCACAGTAACGGTTTGGACTTCTTTTATTCACCATGTGCATTTTTGAACTTGGATAACTTATTAATGCAGATTTGAATTATTCATTTATTTAAGATTCAGCTTGTTCACTGAACAATATTTATTTATTACTTTTGCTCCAGCATTTTTTTCTGCTTTTAATTTTTCTCCAACCCCAACTAATTCTTTCTCGGGCCCTAGTTTACCAATATACAGCGACTACTTACCTGATCCAGCTCTTGCTTTCTGTTTCCTGAATGCTCTAAGTGGCTGCCTTTATTCTGTTCCTTTCCTTTCAACGACTACCAGTTCAAATTCTGCTAATTCCACCCTGTAGCTTCTGTACCCTCTTTATGGAGAGACTTCTCCTTTTTGCCACTTTTCCGTGTAGTTTTCTACCTTTTCACATCGGGGAGGTAGTCAGTGCTTGTTTATCTCTGCTAACTCCTTAAGGATGATGGGTTCGCTCCGTCTGGAGTCAGGGTGTGACTGTTTTAAGTGGCAGAAACTTTTCCTTGTGCATATTCTTAAATAACAGACTAGATTGCAAACATGTCGAGTAGATAATGTGTTGGGTGAACAAATAAGTGATTAGCAGCACGTTGCTTGTAGAATTTTCAAAAGACAAAGCTTGCAAAAGACATGTTAAATCTCATCTTTTAAAAAGTGACCGTTATAGCATCTAAAATCATAGATGATCCTGAAATGCTTTAAAATGTATGTACTTATCTCTTTAAAAAGAATAATTCCAGTAAATTGGAAACATCAGAAGCTTAAGCAGAACATGAAATATGTCCTCTGTATTCAGTATGCCTTGAGCAAAAGTGTTGACTATAGTTTAAGTGACTTCAGTTGCTACAGGGGAAGGAAGAAGCATATGAAAGTAAGGGTTGACCTTTTGGGCAAGTCTGTGAGAGTGGTACAAGACCAAAAAATAGTGTAGACTTGGAAGAGTATTGTGTTGCACCCAAAGATGCTATGGTACTGAGCTACCAATATACGTAGTATTTAATTCACTTGATTCTATGTAATTGAATTAACAGAATAGGCAAATTGGAAAAATTCAGTAAAAAACCTAATTTTTAAAGATTGAGAAATAAGTATTGGAAAGGAAAATTATTATACGGGTTTTATGAAAGGTTTAGTACTTCACAACATCCCGATACTAAAAAACAGTGCTATGCAAAATTCAGTTACCCTGTTTCCAAGGTAATGATCACCAAGTTCAAACCCTCTAACCTAGGAGGCATTTTTTATATGAATTATTATTCAGATAATGGTTTAGAGACTAGCATTAATTGTAAATTTCTAATTTGTAGCTTGAACTAGTCTTAAAAGCACATGGAAAACATGAAGGAGCTAAGTGAAACTGAAGTTACCTCGAGAGTGAAATGATAAAATACATAGTCATGTCGCCTATGTGCATATTGAGCAAATGTCATCTTTACTTTTAAGTCTTGAAGAATTACTGCTAAGTTATTAACAGAAGATGTGTCTCTGTTAATTATCCCCACAACATAATCTTGAACGTACTGATCTACAGTAAAATGAAGGTGGGGGGTGGAAATTCACACATCCATTCTGCAAACTCCTTCTCAACTCTAAAGCAGCTTCAGTTTATCCATTGCTGCTGTTCATGCTCATTTTGCACATCAAATTCTGCTTTTAATTGCACAAGCTTTTGGCTTACGCTGTTCTTGACTATCCTGAAGTCTTAATTACTCTTCAGGGATGTTGTACAAAGGTTACTCAAGGCATTATCGTACTGTAACATCTTCATACTTGGAAATGAGACAAAAAAGGGGGGAAAATGCCTTTAACTGGGTTTTTCGTGATGATTTTATACAAGCTTATTACAAGCTTGTATAAAATGCCATGTGCATTAAAAAAACAAAAAGTGTTTTCAGCCTTGTTTTGTATTGGATCATCAAGAGAACAAAAACATTTGACAGGAAAGCATGTTAAATGTGTTTGTTCCTATTTGCGGAGACCACGCTTCAGCTTTGCTACCATCATACTTAATATGCTCCCAAGGCTAAACATCATAAAATCCTACATATTTTTCTTGTCCCTGCTTTGCACTTGCTTCAATAGCCATAATGCCATGAGATGTCAGGTGCATCTCACTGTATTTTAGTCGGAAAACTTTTGACTTGATGCCAAAATATCTAGAGAGATAAAAACTCATTTAGAGGTTGTTTCATCTTAAAGTAGGTGGTTAAGAAAGGTTGAATGAATCATATTATTGACTAAAGAGAGACCAAAATAAGTACGTTAAAAGCTTAACATTAAGCCAGTCACACTACATCTATGTCTCTAGACTCAGTAGTGCCAGGAAATTTTCTGGGGCACTGTAGCTCAGTCATCTGTACAGTTAGTTGGTAGAACAGTTGCTGGCAGATTTTGGCCTGTGCACAATTCAGGAGTTGGCAAGGCGTAACTTCTCGTGGGCACTTTGGATGTGACCAGCCTGTTCTGGAGGTTAAAAGGTAAATAATGTGGATGCAAACTGTTCTTTGCAAGTTGGCCTCTGTGCCAGAGGGCAGTCCTTGGGATATTTGTTAGTGGACACACAGTCCCAATTTCAGGTGAGATTTGATCCCTTGTATGCACATTGAGAAGAATTAAACTGGGGAGAAAAACATTGTCCCTGTTTGAACTTCAGGAGCAATCTCAGAACTTTTTTTAAATGGTTCTCCAGCTTTCCCTCTTTGTAGTCGTCACATATATGCTTGCTCTGAATGCCTACCAATAGCTAGCTTCTGCAACATTTTTTGTTAAGGATGCAGATTATAGATGGTGAGGAAGTACTAGTAATACATCTCAATTCACTTATAGTTCTCCTTATTAGAAGTAGATGATGATCATTAATTAGTAAGACTTAGGAAAAAGTATGGGTGTCTCAGTATCCTTGCTCTGTATCTTCTCATGGAATAATTCCACATGAAAATTATTTATATATATAATACATATATAAAAATATATATCCGTTGGGTTGGGTGAATATAGTGTTAAAATATAGTTGCATGGACGGCTTAAGCATAAAAAAAAAACCAAAAA